CCCAGAGGGGGGGGTGCAAATCATGACTGGCAGCATGTGCGCGGCCCAGCGGGGGGGCCAGGGACGTAATGAAATAAGAGGAGGCGCCATGATATCTGAGGAAATATCATGGCCCACGCCATGATATCCACCCTCCCTAGTCATCACCCCCCTCTTTTCCGCCCCCGAGAATCGTGGCCCCGTTGCCGGAACACGTTCGTCCAGTGGGAGCGGAGAACACTGGCCACGTCTTCCGTGCTCGTCTGCACCACGCCGTGGGCGTCAGCCACCGCGGCAATGCCTACCGAACGTCCTCGGGCAAGACGCCGAAGTAGCCGAGCGCCAGGTTTGCGAGTGCGGCGGGCGCGGGCCTCTCCCTCGATGGCCTCGGGCGAGGCCTAGTCGATCCTAGCCGCGGCGAGCTCGCCCACCGCGGGACCACGGGCAAGCTCAGCGGCGTGATGTCGGAGACCGGGAACTTGCCCGTGATCACGCGCTGGACGAGCTCGCCGCTACTAGGATCGATATATGTTCTAGCGTTGCTGTGCGCCAGTTATGGGTGTGGAGACGAGAACGCACACACTCCCAGCAAGAAACAGGAAGAGACCAAAACTCACCAGCACCAAACCTTGCAATCACATTGCCTTATCGGCGTCGACGTCTGGACTTTGCAAGGAGCGCGCGTCTCTTCCATTCCCTTTGAATGATTCGGGCACTCTGGCACTCCAGCGCCGATCGATCAACAGGGGTGCCGAACAGCACAAGAACTGCCGAAATACATGAATTGTAAAATGTTTTGGCACCTTGCGTCAATTTGAGCCACCCATTTTGCATTTGCACGCGGGTCGCGAATTTAAAGCACAAAGTGCAGCTTTGTTCCAAATCGATCCAACCATTCCGAAATGTCAGCTGGCAAATTGACTGGATTGGTGTCCATCTGAGCGGGCAGGTGAATGTCAAAGTGACCTCCGCAATTGACATTCCCATAGCTTTGGTTATGCTCCACACGTGAATATAGCTCTGTGTATGTCTGCACTTCGTTGGACCTCATTTGCTGCTTGCAAGATTTTGAGAATAGCATCTTGCTGTAACCGTCGACGGCACTTCTGAGAGGGAACAGCTTCTCACCGCCTCGGCTGCGCACAAGACCGCAACGTGATTGAGGGCAGCGCCTGGTTGGACTGCTCAGCCAGAGCCACGTCGGACACGGCAGCAGGCGCGGCGGGCGCAGGGGGCAGGCGCGGGGGCCCAGCAGCCCCTCGACTCCTACTCCGTTGCTCCCCTCGGCTCGCCCCCTCACTCACATCCGAGGGTGAGGAAGAGGAAAAGGAGGAGGACACGTGGGGGAGGTGAGGAGGGTTCCGTGTGAGAGGGGAGCGAGGGAGACCCGCGCCGAGCGTCACACCCACTGTTCGCCCTCCCCTCGCCTCGCTTTTGCCCCCCCTCCCCCCGCGCCCTTGCTGCCCCTCCGCCTCCTCCTGCTCCCCTCCCTTGCCCGCACTACTGTTCGGCTTGAGGCGATACACTCGCAACAACCAACCTCACGTCAGCCCTGCCTCACCCCCCAAGAGACTCCTGAAGCGTGACGGCAGGCTTGCAAACGTTCCCTGAGGACTCGCCGCCGCAAGGAGCGCTCCCCGGAAACCGCCCCAAGGCTCTGGCTGCCGAACAGGCACTTGACATAAGCCCCGCGCCCCTGCACAGTCTGCCCCCCCATTAGGGCCCCAAAAATGGCACCTCATCCTCTTTCCTTATCGCTTCCTCATAACCTCCCACTCGTCCTTCTTCTCCTCCTGCTCGTCCTCCTGCTCCTCCTCCTGCTCCTCCCCTGCTCATCATCCTCCTCCAACTCCCCATCCTCCTCCAACTCCTCTTCCTCATCATTTTCCTCTCCGCTTTTTGGGATGCGAAGGAAGGCACTTGTGGTGTACCCCCCCCCCGTCAATATTAAGAAAACCATGAGATCAGAAATTTCGGGGCTGAATTGGGGACGGGAAAAAATAAGAAAGTAGGGGCTAAATTCCGGGGCAGTTTCTTAGCCGGCTGGCGCTCTCAATGCCGTGGCGCGTCCGTTGGATTTTGCTCATGTGCCATTGCGCGTGGCAACGCTGGGCGCGCGGACGCAAAAAAGCGACACCAACATCTGGCTCGCCCAGGTGGCGCCGACCTCTGGCCCGCGTTGGTTGTTGCTCATTTGCGATTGCGAATGGCTGCGCCAGGGCGCGCCCCAGGAAGCCAGGCGGCGGCGCCGACCTCTAGCCCGCGTCGGTTTTTGCTAATTTGCGATTGCGATCGGCTGCGCCAGGGCGCGCGCCAGGACGCCGGGCGGCGGCGCCGACCTCTGGCGCGCATTGGTTTTTACTGATGTGCGATTGCGGTTGGCTTCGCCAGGGCGCGCCCCAGGACGCCTGGCGGCAGCACCGACCTCTGGCCCGCGTCGGTTTTTGCTACTTTGCGATTGCGATCGGCTGCGCCAGGGCGCGCGCCAGGACGCCGGGCGGCGGCGCCGACCTCTGGCGCGCATTGGTTTTTTCTGATGTGCGATTGCGGTTGGCTTCGCCAGGGCGCGCCCCAGGACGCCTGGCGGCAGCACCGACCTCTGGCCCGCGTCGGTTTGTGTTCATTTGCGATTGCGGCGGCGGCGCCGATCTCTGGTCCGCGTCTGTTTTTGCGTCTTTGCGATTGCGATTGGCTGCGCAGGGGCTCGCCCCAGGACGCCAGGCGGCGGCGCCGACCTCTGGCCCGCATTGGTTTTTGCTTACTAGCGGTTGCGAATGGCTGCGCCAGGGCGAGCCCCCATGTCGCCAGGCGGCGGCGCCGACCTCTGGCTTGCATTGACGCTAGCCTCACCCCCACCGCCCCTATATCGAACCTACCATCTCCTTCCCGACACCTCCTGCCACAATGCAGATACGTCAGTATTCGTTGTCGATATTAAAATGAAGCGCGGCGAAATGTGGGATGCTCGTGGGAGCAACGCATACGGTCTAAACATGTTGCTAAACAGTTCGAGCTTGATATCTGGAGGATGAGTGGGAGACAAACGACCTTGGTGATTGGTACAGGTAGGGCAATCGTCGAATGGCTTGGAACATAAAAGAAAGGTTAGAGCCGCGATAGGCACGTATCCTGAATGTACTCAGCATCATCCTCATCATCGTCCCCCTCTTCCTCCTCGTTGTCCATCTTTTTCCGAATACTACTGCCAGCACGAAAAAATGCAACGAAAGATCGAAGGCCCACGCGTGCCCTCAGGCGCCGAAACAATCAGCACTAGTGGCAACGATCAGCAAAACAGGAGAGGAGGGATCGAATTAAGCTTGCCTGGGGTACTTCCTCAACGGCAAAAGGAACGACTTGCCATCGAGAAACGTACCCACATCTAAATACTAGAAAGAGCTTGGTTAAGTGAAAGTTTCCTTACATGGGCCCTTTCTTCCTCTCCCTCTGATCACTTCGCCTTTATCCACTCTTCCTCCTCCTCCTCCTCCTCCTCCTCCTCCTCCTCCTCCTCCTCCTCCTCTTCTTTCTCCTCCTCATTATTATCACGGTTCTGCCCCTCCTCAGCATCATCATTATGCTCCTCGTCCTCCTCCTCATCCTCAGAATCCACCTTGTGCCTTCCATTTCAAGTTCTCCTGGTCCATCTGGTCCATGATTCCATAAGCAGCTTGCGTTCACCACCCTTCTTGTCCACGCACACCCTCCTCCCTTCGTTTCCATTAGAAAGGAGGAGGAGGCGGAGGAGGCCACCTCTGCTCGTTTCCCCTTCTCCACATCACACCCTCATTCGCCCCACATGTTCTCGTCTTCCTTCCTCCTGTACTAGCCTTTCTTCCTCCTGTACTCCTCTTTCCTCTTCCGGCTCCTCCTCGGGCTCCCCCTCCTCCTGCTCCTCCTCCCCCCCTCCCCTCCTCATTCTCTTCATCCCCCTCCTCCTCATCATCCTCCTCCCCTCCTCCTCCTCCTCCTCCTCATCCTCCTCATTACGCTGACGATCCTCCTCCTCCTCATCATCATCCTCCTTCTCCTCCTCATCCTCCTTCGCGTTCCTTGTTCCTCCTCTTCATCATCACATCATCATCATCATCATCATCATCATCATCATCATCATCATCATCATCATCATCATCATCATCATCATCATCATCATCATCATCATCATCATCATCATCATCATCATCTCACCACCACCACCATCATCACCACCACCACCATCATCATCATCAGCAGCAGCAGCATCATCATCACCCTGGTCCGAGTGGAAGATGTGCCCTGAGGACCCAGATCGACCTCAGACCTCGAGCGGGGGGATGTTTCGGGGAGAATGTATCGGGGCGTCCAAAAAAGACCCGAGAAAGAATCGCTGGCACCCGAAAGGAGCATCCGGGCGTCGTACGAAAAAAAATAACTTATGCCACGCTGGTGGCGGAGCGCCACGGAGTGGGGCGAGGGGAGCGGCAGTCTAAGAAGGAAGGGCACGTCCTAGAAATTCTCGGAGGCTCCTAAGAAGGCAACACGGTATCTCCGAAGCCCCCTGCCCTCTTAGAAGACCGCCCCCCTGGCCCCGCCTCCTTCTGCGCCGCCGAGACGCAGGCCCTGGGACCCTCACACATCGATCCGGCTCGAAAGTATCTCGTGAAGATGGGATTCCGACTTCCGGGGTGATTCCTGTTGGCGGCGGCGTGACTGTTTGGCGACATCGGATGTCGGGTGAGGGGGATAATGCAAAGCATATGACACCATCGCAGCAGTGATACCACGAGGGTTGACATGAAGAGAACGGGTCTGAGGGAAAAAGGCGTCCTGGACCCCAGGGGCTTGCCCCGGGATCAGTTCTTCGTCCTGGACTGTTTTCTGATGGTCCCGGGGCCTGTAGAGGGCACCAGGGCACGAAAACGGCCAAACATCTAAGGACCCGTTTCCCTCGGGACCTGTTTCCTTCATGGCAAAAGGAGCGCGCTGCAGTTCGTCCTGAGCGATGGCAGGCAGCAGCCAGCAGCATCTTGGCGCAGCGCCGCCTACGAGGCCGACGAGGCCCGAGAGGTGCGGAGCATTAAGCAGCTCCACCGCGAACGCGTCCAGGCCTCCGCGGCGATCGTCCCATCCGCCCTCCGTACCTCGTCGTCGTCGCTCTGCTCTCCCTGCTGGCAGGGCTGAGCTGGATCGAATCGCGAAATCAGATCGGATCGGAAACGGACCCGATCGCCAGCGAATCGTCTCAAACCGAATCGAAATCGGATCGCCGAGCCTGACTCTGGATGGCCCCAGCCGATGCCAATGAATCGAGCAGAATCGAACCATATCGGAATCGTGGCCCTGGACGGCGAATCGACTCGCATCGAATCCGATCGTAGGCGGCGGCAATGAGATTTCGAAGGTAACTTCTGGAAGATCTTCGTGAGAACGGTTCAAGGCTATCATGCCCGACTGAGGGGCCATTGAACTGGGTCGGGACAAATGAAGCCCAAGCTCAAGCCTGACAAAGCCAGACTCAGCGGGATTGAGCGGGACAAAAGCCGGATTCGGCGGGATGAAGCCCGGTTTTCGACCACGGATATACCAGCGCCGACGCTCCTCCTCCTCCTCCTCCTCCACCTCCTCCTCCTCCTCCTCCTCCTCCTCCTCCTCCTCGTCCACCTCCTCCTGCTCCTCCTCCTCCTCCTGCTGAAGTCGCTGGTGGCATCACGCTGACTGTCAACCTGACGGCACCGACCTGGGCCGCCGATCCTGGGCCTAGGGTCTCGGTGCAGAGGCCTCCCTGGCCCAGGCAGGCGGCCGTACACAGCGATGCTGCAGGGGCCTGGCCAGCAAAAGCGCAGACGGATATTGCGAGGCGAGCATCCTTGGACGGGCGAGGCCCTTGGGGAGGTCGATGCCTTTGAAGCAGGCCTCGAGCACCACATCTCCCTCAACATTCACATCGTCATCGTCAGCAGTAGCGTCGTCCTCCTCCTCCTCCTCCTCCTTCTCCTCCTCCTCCTCCTCATCATCATCATCACATCATAATCATCATCATCACATCATAATCATCATCATCATCATCATCATCAACATCATCATCATCCTCATCCTCATCATCATCATCATCATCATCATCATCATCATCATCATCATCATCATCATCATCATCATCATCATCATCATCATCATCATCATCATCAGCAGCAGCAGCAGCAGCAGCAGCATCATCATCATCATCATCATCATCATCATCATCATCATCATCATCATCATCATCATCATCATCATCATCATCATCATCATCATCATCATCATCATCATCATCATCATCATCATCATCATCATCATCATCATCATCATCATCATCAGCAGCAGCATCAGCATCATCATCATCATCATCATCATCATCATCATCATCATCATCAGAATCATCATCATCAGCAGCAGCATCAGCAGCGGCATCAGCATCAGCATCAGCATCAGCATCAGCACCATCATCATCATCATCATCATCATCATCATCATCATGAGAATTGCCCACCGCCCGAATCTCCACTTCTAAGCACCTGCGCCTCCACTTTCGTTTCCTGCGCATTATCCTGCTGCTCTGGCTCTGACCACCGTTCCTCTGGATTAATCCTCCACGTCCTCATTCGCTCCGCCTGTCGTACAAGTTGGTGGAGCGTCTGGAGATTCGAGCACATGAAGGGTGTGTTGGAAAATGTTTGTGTGGACTCGCGCAAGCCTCCAGGCTACATGCCAATGGTCCTCGACTCGTGCGGCCCCATCGCGAACGAAAATGAACCTCAAAATGGCTCGAAGAACTCTCCCTGAGAACGCGGCCGAGCACGCAGACCGATGCAGTACACCAGGTAAACAAAGCAAAAACAAAAACAAACAACAAACTAAATTTCCTGGACTTGTCACAGGTGCTCCACACCTGCCCACACTCTCTCTCTCTCTCTCTTTCTGTCTCCCTCTGCGTCTCTCTCTCTCTCTCTCTCTCTGTCTTCGCTCTCACTCATGTTTCCCTGACACGGCACGAGGGCAGGGCAGAAGAAAGAATCCGCTGCCCCGCAAGAGGGCTATCCCAGACGCACATCCCGAGCGAAATTGACGGCAGGGCGGTGAAAGCCAAAACCTGGAAAAGCCCTGGGCTCGGGGGTCTCGGGGAGCAAGAAACCAGAAGGCGACAGATACGAATTTGCCCCCGAAGAGTGTCGTAACCCCTACCGCAAAGCCTAAACTGCCCATGCCGTACACCCAACATAACATCATGGGAGAGTGGAGGGAAGGAGGCAAAGGAGAGGGAGGAGAGGGGATGGATCTAGATAAGCGTTGTAAGTGCATTTCCCCATGACCCGAACGACCATTCGTTTTCATTCCTATAATCGGGCACCACATGGCACCAGGCAAAGAGACGCAGCAAAATACAGTACGTGGTACAAGGTCGGGACGAACTCCTGATTCCTGACATGCCACAGCGGAGAAACCAGAAGAGGAAGGAAGGGAGGAAGGAAAAAGGCGAAAGAGGACAGGAGGCAAGAAAGGGGGGAAACTAATGCTGGGTGCACGCACTCGTCAACTATGCATGATGGAACTTCTCTCTCTCACTCTCTATACATATATATACACGAGTTTCAGTATATACACTAAGCGGTGCTCTATGCTCTCTGCCATCCTGTCTACTCTCTATTGCCTGTTCTTACATCATGACCGTGGTCGCACTGAAAAATACTTCTCCCTCTCTCTCTCTCCACATGTCGTCCCTCTATCTCTCTCTTGCTCTCTCTCCCTCTCTCTCTGCTACTACGGTGTTGACTTCCTACTACAGAATATCCACTCTATTCTCTCTGCTACAATTCTGCTGGCTACGCTCTGATATGTATTCCCTACTCTCTACTATTTCCTCTCTAACCCTAACCACGGTCGCAAGAACCTGGGTACTTGGCCGAATCCAAAGACGAAAACCCTGGGACCTTGCGGGAACCCCAGACCCAGAGCCAGGAAACCGGGAACCCAGCCGCCTACCGAAACCGGCCCAGAACCTGGAACCGAAACTCGGGAAACTGGCCGCCCAACGCAATCGGCCTGGCACATTGGCCAGAGCCCGTAATCAAGCGGGAACCAGGCAACCCCGCCGCCCACCGACCTTCGGCCATCGGAACTTTGCCAAGTCCTTCAACAGCCGCTAGGACCAAGTCTATACAAGCACTGATTGGAGAAATGCTCCTGCCGAGCTGGTGTTTCGGGCAACTCGCTCTGAATCCAGCTGGGGCACGGCGTGTGCCGAGCTGGCTCAACACGTGGAATTGGCGGCGCCGCATCCTGACAGTAAGTTTAAGCTTGCCTAAGGAAGCGTCAGTCACTCAGCGAATAAAACTGCGCGAGACCAGCGCGTGGACCCCAGCAAGTTGGACAAGAAGGCACAGGACCAAGCTGTTTGGGGAAACAAGAAGATGCCGATACCACTACTCCCCGGACATCTCCCAGGGCAAAGTCTGATCAAGATTTCGAGGCGCGTCCAGCCGTGGCGGCGAGGAACAGGCAGCGGTATCGATATGTTGTCCTCCTCGGAAGCTTGAGACAGTCGAGGACAAAGCTGGTCCGCAGAAACCTCCAGCAGCGGAAGGCAGCACCAGGGCTGGAAGTAATCGGGGACGAGGCCGAACCAAACATATTGGTGGCAACGGAGGGCAACACCAAGGCCACGGGCAGCTTGGGACGAGCCCTAAGGGAGAAGTCGGCGGCAACGGATGGCAACACAGAGTCTGGGGACAATGTGGGACAAGGCGGGACCAAACCGTTCCTGGCGGCAACAGGAAGCCCAAGCACAGAATATGTTTTTCGAGGGGCAGCACCAGAGCCTGGGAAGAACCTGGGTTTGCGGCAAAGGAGGGTGGCAGCGCCAGAGACAGCTGGGGACAAGGCCGAATCAAGGAAACAGGCGGCGACGGAGGGCAACGCCAGGGACAAGCACAGCCATGAGACAGGGCCGAACCACGGAAATCTCTGGCAGCATAGAAGTCAGCACCGAGGCCAGGGGCAATCTGGCACCATGCCGAATCAGGCCGGTTGGCGGGGGCTGGGACAGGGGTTCACGGCCAAATGAAAAAACTGGCGGCAACGGAAGGCAACATCGGAACCGGGGACAGCCAGGAACAAAGCTGAACGGGGGGCAACGCCAGGGCCAAGGACCGTCAGGAATGAGAGCCGAAACACGGAAGCCCCTGGCATCCAGAAGCAACTCTGTCATGAGACCAGCACGCGGACACGAAATACTGAGGCATGTACATACAACATACCCATGCCAGTGACGACGCGTGACTAATGTGCAAAGGTTGGTAACAATCGGAGGCAAGACCCAAAAGAAAGCGGCGGCAACGGAGTGAAGCACTAAGGCCAGGGAAAACCAGCAGCAAGGCCGAGCCAAAGAAACCGACAGCAACGGCGGGCAGCGCCGAGCACGGCCGAGAACAGACCGCCACGAGGCCGAACCGAGCAAAGGATGGTCGGGGACAAGGCCGAGTCAGAGAACTCAGCAAGACCATTACGGCCTGGGACGGCTGGGGACAGCCGGGGACAGCCAGGGACAAGGCCGAACCAAGCAACTCGGCGACAACGGAGGTCAGCATCGTGGCCAAGGGCAGCTGGGGACAAGGACGAACTGACGAGGTTGGCGGCGATGGAGGGCAACACCAAAGCCGCAGACAGTCGGGGACAGTCGGGAGCCAAAACCTAGGGCCGGGGACAATCGGGGACACGGTCGAACCAAAGGATTCGGCAGCAACGGAAGGCTGCACAGGAGCTGGGGACAGCCAGGGACAAGAACGAATCAGACAGGTTGGCAGCAACAGAGTGCGCTTCCAGGGCAACGAAAGAAAACACCGTTGCCAAAGACAGCCAGGCACAGGCCCAACCACGAAAATTCCTGGCAAATGAAGGCAGCAGCAGGGCCAGGGACAATCAAAGATAAGGTCAAACCAATGGATCCGAATGCACCAGGGAGCAGCACCAGCGGAAACAGCCTTTGAAAAGGCACAGGAAAAAAAACTAGCAGCAACGGAGCGCAACACCAAGAAGGAGGAACCAAACAAACCAGTGGTAATGGGGACACTACCTGGGAAAGGGACTGATGGGGACCTGGGGAACAACGCCTGACCGCGGAAATCCCCAGCAGTGGGAGAAAATTCTTCCCAACTCGTAGGAAACCCTTTCGTGCAAGCACTGTCTGGGTACCAAACAAAAGCACGCCAAGAGCAGTGTTCATGTGCTGGGTCACTCTAAGATCGTACAACCTCAACTATGACTGACGAATCCACGTGCCGCAAAACTTCTAACAACGGTCACTCGCAAAACCATATACGTATTCCTGACGCTGCACCACCACCTCTAAATATCTGAAGACATCGAACGGCAAATCTCTGAAACGCCCGTGTGACTTCATTTTCTGGGCCCGATCTGTCTGCAAAGCCAGATCCCAAAATCAACAACAACAACAACAACAACAACAATAACAACAACAACAACAACAACAACAACAACAACAACAACAACAACAACAACAACAACAACAACAACTACTACTACTACTACTACTACTACTACTACTACTACTACTACTACTACAGAAGCCGCATGAACCGACCTTCTTGACTTCTCCAACGTCAGCGTCGAGAGCTGCCCCAAAAGCAGCGCCTAGCGAGCAAAACTGGATCGTCATGGCCAGCATCAAGTATAAGTTGAGGAGCGGTGCCCAGCCTGCCCCATGCAAATTGACATGGCAGCACACCGAACGGACAATCTATATATATATATATATATACATACATACATACATACATACATAAATACAGACATGCATGAATGCATGCATGGATACATACATGCATACATGCATACATATATGCATACACACAACCAAATAAGCTAAGAGAACTTGCGCCCTAATCGGTGCGATACGCATGATGTACTCGCACACATCCCCGTTGTCCCCCCGACCAAAACAAAATCCGAAAGATGGCGACGACTACATTACAAAAAAAAAAAAAAAAAAGCTGGCTTGCACAGAGAAGTCAAAAGAACTGAAAACCATTGAACTCCCTACACGATGCACTCATGTACTTGCATGAACAAATTGCCTTTTTGGGATGTTCCAGCGAATACATTTCGAGAATATCAGCAACCATCTGGGCGTGCACAAATTGATGGTCCAACTGCTCCAAAACAAAAATATGCTTTCTTCTTCGGGAAAGACCTGACAAATCATGCTTTCTTTTTCAGAATGGCACCTGCGGATGACCAAAGATGGTCCACTACGGGCATAAAGCAAACCACTAAGGCTACAAACCACGAAGAAACTCGAATTCATAACACATCGGGTTCGGAAAAGACACGCCGACCTATGACCCGCTATTCTATGAACGCCTTGAGCAAAGCTAAGAGCGCTCCCCAAACCCTGATCCCGAAAAATATTCAAGAGACACAACTGAATCCGCTGAACACCACCGCCAAGGGGCGAAAATATGTTCGTTCCCCCCTCCCGTTCCCTCTTCCCTCGGAGTGCACAATCATTTAGGAGGGGAGGGTCCTACGAAGATTCGGAGCACCTGCACTTCCCAACACACCGGGGCTCCAGATCCTCGGCCACCCGTGACTTCCAGCACCAGGATAGCCTTTGAAGTATTCCATCCAACAGCAGAAGAAAAAACAGAGAAAGGGGAACAGACAATGGAATGGCTGTCAAGGCAAAAAATAGCGACACCGCCAGCCTAACAGCCTATATCCGGGCAACGAACGGTGCAACACAAACGGATCGAACCAAGTTTCCAGTAAACACACAAGATGGGAAAAGAAGCGGAAAAAAAGACGAGCATAGAGTTCGGCCGAATGAGCATTAGATGATGACTTATGTAAAGCATGATGAAGTCCGAAAAATCGACAAATGGTGAAGGTTGGAAGTAGCCAGTAGCCACAACCACCATCTGGAGGTGAAATAATCGAACTCGTTGCCTCAAAAATCCTCGAAAATTCACGCAAACTTCGCTGTGTCAAGGAAGGCCGGCGCGACAACGGGAGCAAAGTAACGATAGAAAAACTTCCTTCACAAAAATTCTCCGGGTTAAGGCGGCCTGCATCCGAAAAACCAAGCGTTAGGCGGCCTGCACTCGGACTCTGCAAGTGAGGCGCCGCGCATCCCGAATGTGCGAATGAAGGCGGCCTGCATCCGAAAAACAGGGGGTAAGGCGGCCTGCACCGGGACCTCCGTGTTAAGGCGTGGTGCAAACCGCTCCACATGCCTTACATGTAGGTAGGTTGCCGAACATAGCTCTCCTTATAGATCGCACCACATAGCACAAGACATGGCAACTCGTAACTATTACCATTGCAATGCACAAATTGCATCAATTTGACTGCGCACACCACATCGCTCACACCATGTGGATATAGCTCACGTCGAATGACATACATTACACCGACCACACTGCTGATGTGAATGGCACCACGTAGTTTACACAACACCAACAGATTTCATCACACGTGCTGCACCGAAAAAAACATACAAAATCGACTCGACTTTCAGAAAACAGAATAGACTCTACCCCCCCGCCTTTGGTTCAGGGGTCCACCTTTTCGAATTGCTATTCAAATAGGATTCTGCCCCATCGTTCATCTCGAATGCCGCCGTCCTCTCTACCTCAAACTTGATCAACTGCCGCACTCACGCCGTGAGCCTATAGAAGCCAGGCACAACCGTGGCTCCCAAGAAAAAGAGTTCATTTGCTTCTATTATGTTTGATATATATATATATATATGTGAGAGAGAGAGAGAGAGAGGAATAACAACAACAAAAAAACCTTCTTACGAAAGGTTGAGCAATCATTTTGATCACATGCTACAAAACAGCTTTCTTCGCGCATGTCGAATTCGTTCGAACACCCTTGCGCGCGTGCTGGAATGGCGTCTGCTGCGCGCGCGTTTCGAACTCTTTTTTTTCTATGCGACCTCTGAAAAAAATGATTCTCACCATCCTTCAGCACCGAGACCAGGCCGCCCGGCAAGTCCGGGGCATGGCGGGACGCGGACGCAAAAGGCGGCAAGGAACGCCCTGCACACGACCACTGGCAAGACCGAAGACGAGGCAGGCGAAAACTGAACAAACGGCGGAACAACAATAGCAAGCGAGCTTAAAACAACAAACCATGCAAGGCAAGAGGGAGGGAAGGGAAGAGAGCAGGAAGAAGGCGGGAAGGGAGAAGAAGGAGGCAGGAGCATCCAACGACGGACGACGAGAGAAAGGAAGGCGAGAGGCGAACGGGGAAAGGCGAGCCCCCGCAGGCGACGCGCACGCGCGTACCGAGCACTCCATGCCCGGCGGCCGGCGGGTAGAAGAAGGGAGGAGGAGGAGGAGGAGGAGGAGGAGGAGGAGGAGGAAAAAACGCGACAAGGACAAACGAATGTCAACGACGGCTTCCATGCCCGCGGGTCAGGGGGAGGAGAAGGAAAGAAGAGCAGCAAAGGAAGAGGAAAACGGAGACACGACAAGGACGGACGAACAACAACGACGGCGGGCACGGCCAGCAAACGACGGCGAAAAACAACCTCTTTTTGCAACGCGGACAAAACCGATTGAAAGTCTCTCAGAGTATCTGCAACAATGAACTCTGGTATCAAATAATAGATGCGCACCATTCCGATAGCGGAACGGAATAAATAATCAGCGGACATTAAACTAGGCTCAGCGGCGAAAAGGGCGGGGGGCCGAAGGAGCAAGACGAGAGGAGTAGAGCGCCGAACACAATTCTATGAATCACGCCGAGCATGGCGATGTCCCTGCTGACAGCTAGAAGAGCGAACTTAAACTGCTGCAAAACGTCGAGAAACTGCGCGTTAACAACGCGAACAAACTGAATCAAAACAGAGTCCACCGAAAGAAAAGAGGGGAATGCATTGCTTCAAACCGCGCCGTTCAGCTTGCGCCAAGTGCGACCTACGAAAGCGGATGCAACGAGAATTGCGCGATTTTAATCTACAGAAACTATAAGGAAAAGCAGAACCGTTTGGTTTTTGGCGACCTCAGGACAATAATGCACAGTGACCGCACAAACCTTCACCACAATTGCGCTTCTCAATTAACACGCCCGCAAACGCCAGGCAAGACCCACACAGCATTACGCACGGACAGCACATATAAAAACGACAATTTGTTCCTCGAGCCAACGCCAGAGGCGCGCGAACGAGAAATGACGTTTAAAACATGAGACCAAAAAACAGACGGCAAGACGACCAAGAAAATTGTCATGATCGACTTGCCGTTGACAAAAAAAAAAAAGGAGGCGGCCGCCACGCACGACGGACGGTTTGAAGAGAGAAGGGGCACCGTGGCGACAATGGCAAATTTTCTACACTGGCCGTCTCTGACAGCACGAGCTGCAGTCGTCTTTGCAACATAGGCACTTCCCTGGCTGGACAACGCTGTCCGGAATGCCCACTGAATACAGAAAGCGATTCTGCAATGCATCAAGAGGCGCAAGAGAAAAGGCTGACGCGTCAAAGATTGCCCACGTGCGGTATTCAATGTATGACACAGTATGTGCCTTATACAAATTAACCAAATCTGCATCATAATGAAATCTGCGCGCGCGAATGATGCTGTATATTCTCCTAGAGGCGGCAGCAACGCAGCCCTCCAACGCGTCATCAACAACGTCGATGTTTTAATTATATATTGTGGTTTTGAAATTATCTCCAGTAGGCCGCAAATTAGACATTAAATGGACATGCTCCTTGCCAGCATCGAACCGCACCCGGTAGACGCGACCCCATTCGTGCGGAGAAGACTGACACACACCCCGGGAACGCCTTCAAAGCGCTGAGGTCATCTGCAAAAACGACTTCTTCGATATCGCACGAACGAGTAGCCAAGGCCAAATAGGGTGCTTGGTATGCCATTTACTGCATAGCAATCGGCTAGGATGCTTGCCAACCAACAACCACCCGACCAACGCGCAGGCGAAATCTGCTTCGTTGAAGAAAAAATGCTCGCGGGAACGCTGGAAGCCCTGAACTTACTGCGGGGGGGGGGGGGGGGAGAGAGACAACGTGATCAAATGTTCCCTTTCCATCGAGTAACAAAGAACGATGCTAAAATAACAAAAAAAATCCAACCCCTGGCTCCGTGCTCTTGTCTGTAGGCAAACTGGAAAAGATCTAGACGAGAAACGAACAGGGCCTCCCAAAACCTTTTGACGACGTTCAAGATCTGCGACGAATCCCCTGTACATATCAAATATGATGCCGCCCCTCGCTTGGCAATGGGAAAATCCACTGCTCTTCCAGCGCAACGAACCAACAGACTGGAGTGCGAATGTCCGAACACATGCTTTTAAAACGCGTCGGCAATTGGCCCGGCACCGCTGTCTCCTCTGCTGACAACACATAGCACGCGGCAGGGACACGGATCAAAGAGAATGCACATCAAGAAAAACCAATGCGTGGGTGGTTGGATATGCACGTCCGTCGCGGCAATGATGGATCAAGCTGTTTTGGCTTACTGAAGAAAAGACTCACCCATAGTAACGCAGCGGTGGCTCTCCCTGCGCTGCCGACGCGCCTGCGCTGCTGCCGAGTAAACGAGCCAGGAGGCTCTCGAGCTGCGCCGAGCGGCACTGGTCACAGCCTGGGCCCGCTTCGCGGGGAAGCTCAGGCGAATGGCAAGGCTGAAAAAGATCTGGGCTGCTCCTGGCCACTACCTAACGAGCTCAGGGTGCTAGGAGGGCGCCCAAGCCGCGCTGGGAGGCAGCGGCAGCAATGGCGGAGCAGGTTCTGCGCGACCTGCAGGCGCAGATGCACGCGACGCAGCAGGAGCTCATCGCGGCGAGACGTGAATCCGCGCAGGCGCTGCAGGCAGCGGACGAGGCGCGGGCGGCTGCACCCGCACAGCGGGGGGGGGCGGCGCCGGCGGCAGAGCGCTGGGCCGCAGAGGTTCGGACGATAGGCAAGCCAGAGCACTTCGACGGCACGAACAGGCGAGACTGGTCGGTGGTCTTCGGGGCGCACGCAGGGGCGGCCAACCCTCGCATGGCCGAGGCGCTCCAGCGAGATGCTAGGGCGGCGGCCCCCATGCCAACGCGACCCTGGAGGATGACGACGTGGAGATCAGCCGCCAGTTGCACCACTGGCTTGTGCAGACGTGCAGGGCCCAGGCCCTTGACGTAATGCTGAATCCAGGTGCGCTGGAGGGCCTGGAGGCGCGGCGGCAACTGAACCACCGCTACGAGCCTCAGGTGCGCACAAAGTACGCGGGCCTCGTGACGCAGTTGCTCAACTGGGACTTCAGTGGAGATCTCGTCACGAGGAGGGAGGCCTTCGAGCGCGAGGTCTTGCTCTACGAGGGCCGGACGGGCGAGCAGCTGAGAAACGCCATCAAGATCGGGATCGTGCTGCAGAGGTTGCCCGACAGCCCGCTGAAGCAGCACATGATCCTGAATGCAGACAGGCTCGAGCAGTGGGCGTAATTCCGAGAGGAGATCGTGAATGTGCGCCGCGCCCAGGCAGCAGCGGCGGCGATTCCCGGAGGACCTATGCTGATGGAGCTCGGAGCTTTCGGGGGACAGGGCGGAGGCAAGGGTGGCAAGAAGGAACATGGCCACGGCTACCCTCAGCCTCAGCATTCAGTCGGCCAATGCCGCTAGCTGTGGCCGCCAGGGGCACACCAAGAAGGACTGCTGGTTCGCCGACAAGGGCAAGGGCGGCCGCGGCGGCGGCAGCAGAGGCAAGGGCAACGACGGCAAGGGCGGCAGAGGAGGCCGCGGCGGCGGTGGAGGCACAGGCGGCGGCGCTGGCGCTGGGCGCGGCTCGGAACAGCGCAAGTGCTACAAGTGCAACCTGCCGGGTCACATCGCCAAGGACTGCAAGCAGCGCGAGGTCGCCGCGGTCGAGGGGAGCCGCGAGCCGGAGCCTGAGAAGGCCATCCGCGGGCTCTTCCTCAACGCCCTGGACAACGGCAACGCGGTGCAGGAGGCCTACGACCTGCTGCTGGACAGCGGGATCGCGAGCGAGGAGCTCTTCGGCAAGCTGCTGGAGCTGGGAGCGGTCGCGCGCGGTCCTCGGAAGCTCGCGATGGGTGTCGACTCAGGCGCGGCGACGACAGTGATGCCCAGGGAGAGCTTCACGGACTACCCGTTGGTGGAGAACGAGATGAGCAGGAAGGGCGAAGGCTACCGCACGGGCGACGGCGGCTGGGTCCCCGACTGCGGCACGCGCGAGCTCTTGGGCGAGATTGACACAACGGGCGGCACGCGCGTGATCAAGGGGATCAAAGCGAGGGTGGCCCCTGTGACAAAGGGGTTGGTCTCAGTCTCGGGGTGGTCGATGCAGGGCGCGCGATCGTCTTCGGCCGCGAGCGGAGCTTCGCGAGGAACGAGAGCACAGGGCAGGAGATCAACTTCGTGCGGCGCAACAACGCGTACGAGATGGAGCTGGGCCCCCTGAGCTAGGCGTCTGCCCGTACGCGAAGGCGCGCGAGGTGCTGGGCCAGAGGCCGTCCGGTTTCTCCCGGCAGGCCTGACCGCTGCAAGCCCGGCCATCGCGGAGGGCAGTGAGATCTGCCCGTTGCATGGAGGTGGAGACGATGAGCTCCCTCCAGTCGTCGCGGATCCCTACGGCGAGCAGCCTCCCCCGGCACGGCCGGGCGAGGACGGCGAGCAGCGCCCCCCGGCACAGCCGGGCGGGGACGGCGAGAACGAGGCGGAGGCCCCATTGATCAGGGCTGCGAGGAGACCGTGGGAGCCCACGGAGCAGGAAAAGATGGATCACCAGGTGAGCCACGTCCCCTTCCGGGCGTGGCGCCGCCACTGCGTGGCGGGCCGCGGACGCGCGGCTCCACATAAGCAGTGCGACCACACGGAGGACGGGGTGCCCATCGTCGCGTTGGACTACGCGTACTCGGGCGGCAGCGAGAACGGCGAGGACGGATCCTCGCCGACCCTGGCGGCGCATGACTCGGCGACTCGATGGACTTCGAGCGAGGTGCTGCCGAGCAAGGGGCTGACGCACCCCTTCAACGCGGAGACGTTGGTGAGGCTCTGCGCAGATGTGCCATGCGAAGATGTACTTGAAGTCGGACCAGGAGAAGCCCATCCTGGCCCTGAAGGCCGCAGCAGTGGCGCGGCTCAATGAGAAGGGCGTCACAATCATGACCGAGGAGTCGGCCGTGGGCGAGTCCCACAGCAACGGGCTCGCAGCAGGAGCGGTGCGAGACATCACGGGCCTCGCGCGCACGCTGCGGCACGCGGCGGAGGAGCTGCACGGGGCGGTGTTCGGGCAGAGTCATCCTGTTCTGCCCTGGCTGGTGCGGCACGTTGGCTCGATGCTGAGCCGAGGCCAGCGGTCAGCCGACGGCAGGACGCCGCACGAGCTGAGGAAAGGCAGGGCGTTCAAGAAGCCACTACCGGCCTTCTCGGAGAAGGTATTCTACTTGCCTGCGGGCAAGAGGGCGTCGCGGCTGGTGGACAGGTGGCTGGAGGGCATCTTCCTCGGGGTCGTGGAGGGCACCGACGAGGTGTACATCGGCACGCCGAAGGGGGTCTTCCGGGCCCGCAGCGTGGACGCCTCCCGGGGCCCAGCAGGTCGGACAAAGCGCTGCTGGCCGAGATGCGCGGGGTGCCCTGGGACCCGGTCCCTGGAGGCATCGAGGGGAGTCGCGCCCCCGACGGGGGCGGCGGCCTGGCGGCACCGCCGGCACGCGCGAAGATCGTGGCGGACCAGGTGGTGCCCGACGCGCAGCTGCTGGAGGTGCCAGCGCCGGCGGCGCCAGGAGCGCCGAGGCGCGTCTACCTGAGGCGCGACATCGAGCTGCAGAGGCACGGGCACACCGAGGGATGCTACGGCTGCACGTCAGCGGCCCTCGGGCGGCGCGCAAAGGCGCACTCGGAGGAGTGCCGGAAGCGCATCGAGGAGGCGATGGCATCTGAGCCAGCGAGTCGAGGGTGCGAGGGCCAGGAGGGCACTCCCCTCGGTGGAGGACCAGGCGGCTCCAGAGGCTAAGAGGGCAAGAGGTAGCCCACCGCCAAGAGCCAACGCAGCCGGCTCCAGGTCAGGCCCCGGCGCCGAGCCCAGCCCGAGCGCTTCCTCAGGGTCGGGCGGCGCCGCGGCGGCGGCGGCCCCACAGAGCACGGAGGCGGGCCAGCTAACGATCGCGGACGCCAGGCAGATAGGCACCTTGCTGATGCAGCTGGGAGCCTTCGAGGGTAACATCGCGGAGGTGTTCAACCTGGGCGAGTTCTGCAGGCGTGCGCCGTGCTTCGGCCAGGAGCCGGGGATCGCCATGGACTTGCGGACCGGATGGGACTTTGACGACACGAGCCAGCGCGAGCTGGCGATGCAGGAGATCACGGAGAGCAAGCCCATGTTCGTGGTGGCGAGCCCCGCGTGCACGCCATTCTCGCTGATCCTGAAGACGGGCGAGGAGGTGCGCGATGATGAGCGGTACCAGGCGCTGCTGAAGCGCTGCATCGTCTACCTCGAAATGCGATGGAGATCTGCGCACTCCAGCAGCACGAGGGCCGGCTCTTCTTGTACGAGCATCCGTGGACGGCCTGGAGCTGGCACCTCAAGATCATCGAGAAGGTGCGGCTGCAGTGCGTCATGGTGAAGGGCCACCAGTGTGGCTTCGGGCAGACCTCGAAGGAGCCAGACGGGGTCGTCGGGCCGGTGGCGAAGGCGACGGGCTGGATGACGAACAGCCAAGCCATCGCGAAGCGCATGGAGCCCTGTGCACCAAAGACCACCAGCACGTGCACCTGGTCGGAGGCAGGGGCAAGGCGGCCGAGCGGTACCCGACCCCGCTGGTCAAGGCCATCCTGTCCGGGCGACGATCGAGGAGACGGAGACCTTCGAGGCGGCGACGCCGGAGGAGCTCGAGGAGTTCTTCGATGGCATCTCGCGCACGCGGCTGGACCCGAAGATGGTGCGCGCGGCGCAAGCTGAGGAGATGGCCTACATGGAGAGGCCGGGCGTCTTCCGGCAAGCGCCGACGAGCGAGTGCTATGAGACCACGGGGACTCGGCCGCTGCCCAGCGGCTGGGTCGACACGAACGAGGGCGACGAGCGCAGGCCGGAGATCCGCAGCAGGCTCGTCGCGAAGGAGACGCGGAGGCTCAGCACGCCGGGCCCCGAGGACGCAGCGCAGACCTTCGCTGCCACGCCGCCGCTCGAGGGGCTGCGGCTGCTGCTCTGCCTGGCTATGTCGCGCAGAGCCTCGGAGGGCAAGATCCTCATGTTCCTGGACATATCCAATGCCCACCTGCGCTCGGAGCACTTGCGGCGCGTCTACCTGAAGGCGCCGGCAGAGGACGAGAAATGCGAGGAGGATAAGTGCTGGCTCCTGCTGAGCGGGGCGCCGGCGCAGCTTTCGACCTGAAGGTGGAGAAGGTCATGGAAGAGCTTTGGGCGCGGCAGGGGCAGTTCAGCCCGTGCGTCTACAGGCTGGGGTCGCTGGTGGCGCGGCGCCACGGCGACGACTTCGTCGTCTTCGGCGGACGCTCGGAGGCGAGGGACTTCGAGGCGGGCCTGGGCAAGCACTTGATCGCCAAGTGCCGCGGCATCCTGGGCCCAGAGGCGAGCGAGGGCGACGCGAAGGAGATCGCGGTGCTCAACCGCACCCTGCGGTGGGTGCTCGGGGTCATTTTTGCTAAGATTGAAATATATTTGACAATTCATTAAGGAATCACATTTTTCTCACGTGTAGAGGATCATGCCGCATCTGCCATTGCAATCCTCAGCTCCGTAACTGCAATAGTACTACCAAAAGACTTGCGGAACCGACTTTGGGAAACATGAAACATCTAATTGTTCTAGTTCCTTGGATTATCCTTGATAAAACTTCTCTGGTGCGTTCCGATCAGTGCCTCCCGAGAAAAGAGCTCTGCGAGGCTTCCGGCGGTTACCTGGTTGACGGTTTACCGCCGCATTCCAGTTGGCAAACCGGACGTAAAAAGACAATGTGACGCATTGGGGTCGGTTCTGCTAAGATTCGAAAAATATTTGACAATTCATTTTTAGAAAACAGATTCTTCTCACTTGTAGGTTATGCCGCGTCTGCCAAAGAAATTCTCAGGTCCGCGGCTACAGTTTTACTATCGAAACACTTGCAGGAGCCGACGCTGGATGAAAACCGAAAAAAAAACGCATTTTCCGAACTTGTTTTAATCAGCGCTTGAGATTTTTTTTTCCGCGCGGTGCTTCTCGGCTGATGTCGAGGCATGCCAGACAGCCGCCGCCGAGGAAGCTGGGCATCTTCGCGAACAGTGCCTTCGCGGGCACGCAGACGAGGAAGTCGACCTCGGCCATGCGCGCGCTGTTCGGCTGGCACTGGATCAAGTCGTCGTCGACGACACAACAGGCGCAGACCCTCTCGACAAGGGGGGCTTAATTCCACGCCCCGGTCAAAGAGGCATCGGCGGAGCTCGGCTTCCGCGCCCTGCAAGAGGACTACGGCTACGACAATATAGACGCGGACCTGTGCTGCGACGCCACCGCGGGCAAAGGTGTCGCGGAGCGCCGTGGCGTTGGGGGCATTCGCCATCTGCACACGCCCATCGTTTGGATCCAGAGGGCGGTGCAGCGCGGCCCTGCGAAAGTCAGGAGGGCGCCAGCGCGGACCTGGGCACCCAGCATGTGGAGGCGACGTTCATTGCCGGCTTCTTGCCGGCCTGGGCTTCGCCCAGATGAGCGGAGCGAGCAGGCTGACCCTCAAGACGGCGCTGGCCGGGGTCCACAGCTAGCCAATTCTCGCGTGGATCGCCATGCGCTACCTTTTGAGATCCACTGGGCCTGGCAAGCCCAGACAGCACAGCCGGCCAACCATTTCGAGAGTGAGCCTTGGGTAGTGAAGATTGCCGGAGCGAGCAGCTCCCGAGAGGTTCCGGCCGCCGGGAGGGCTGGTTGGATATGCTGGTCCGTCGTAGACATGATGAATCAAACTGTTTTGGCTTAGCGAAAAAAGATGCACCCAATGGGGCGCATGAAAAAATCCTCAGCAGCGGGAAACGACTATTCACGACGAAAAGGTTGTGCGAATAATATCATTTCAATTCGCGGGGAGCCGCATTACTTTTTGCCCAAGTTGCCCCAACAATTCTTCTATTATTGCTACTGAACTGGCATGAGCACCTTTCTGCCAAGCACCTCCGGACCTGCAAATGTCGCATCGTCTCGAACAGCAAGAGTGCGTTGATCATGAAGCCGGAAATAGACAATGCGAAAAATAATTCACGAATAATTGTCAAACGAAAAACTCTGCGTTTTACTGGGGATGGCGGCGTTGCTTTTTTGTAAGATATGAACATGTGTTCCGCCTTCTCGCCGCTTGCTTCCTCTTGCGTTGATGGTTGCCTCTGGATTGCATTTCTGATTTGTTTTTAATGTTTATAATCTCGCGACATAAAAGTGATCTCACAACGTGACCTCTGCAAGACAACATCACATTAAAACCTGCACGGCAAGCGAGGAGGACGGAAGATGAATCTGATCAAAAATTAGGCTGCTCAACGACTGGATGACGGCCCGGGGACGCGCAACAAGGACACCGTGTCAGAACATATCATAAGACAAGTAGCGAAAGGAAACGAGAGAAAAAGGAAGGAATAGAAGGGAGGGACGGAGAGGGGGAGGGAAACGGCGAAGGGAGGCCAGCGGCTTCTGAAATGCTGTCGACGACACTTTGACGCGTACCGCACGTGTGCACGCGTGCCGGAAATGCTCCCAGATGCTGCGATAACCCCTTCCAGTTATTGACCGGCGAAGGCTGCTCGTATCTCGAAATCTCGCAGCTGAACTTATGCTCCAAACGGCTGTAAACCTCTGTAAAATTACAACCGACTTACACACTAAATGATTCTGAATCACAATTTCAATCTCGATAGAAAGAGATTCTAACATAATAATGTGTATAATCGAAAATCAAACTATAAGATTTCTGACAAGCGGAAAATATAATGGAATTGAATGCATTTGAAAACTACTAAAAGTATATCTACAGTTTACGACTTACTTCTGTTTATGTGATACTTCCATTAACTGTGTTCCGAAAACACAATCTATATTGGGAATGTGTGCAATCGCCAATATCTTATGAACACCACTGAACATACTGCGAACTGGCGACCTCAAATCAATAAATATTATTTTGTTTCTCTGAATTCTCGCCGAAAAAATGTTCGATAATCTTGGCTTACCAATATGGGTATACGTATTATTGAAAAATTCTACTTCATACGGTTTGTGCGTTTTGTATTATATAGGCATCTTCGTGACGTACTATATTCTCAATGTTTGATCGAACGGAATAAATAACCCTTACCATATACTTCGCATGAAATGTCAAAGTTTCGATATGCATTCACGTAAACATGAAACATCATCGAGATGATTATTAAAAAGAAAACATAATTATCGATGAAACATGACCTCATACAATATGTTCAATGACTACTATATTTACGAAATGTTTCTCTATGTATATATTCTTTGTTTTTTCGAATGAATGCTATCAAACCTATTACGGCCAGTATTCTCTACTAGAATCTACCCCCATCTGATACCGATGTTCTCAACATCTCATGTACACTTGAATGAAAATTCGAAAATAAATTATATATATTCTTACAAATAGCATGTTTATATGATTCGTTGTCGATTATATTAAACCGGACAGATTTCTTCAACTATCTATTAACACCACGATTCGACGAATCAGAAATTTGATACAGAACGTTCGATTAACACCAGCGCTCTGCAAATCGTTGCTGCATTTGTGCTCGATCTACAAAAAAATCCCAACAAAAAATCACCCCCCCCCCCCCCACAAAAAAAAAAAAAAAAAAAAAAAAAAAAAAAAAAAAAAAAAAAAAAAAAAAAAAAAAAAAAAAAAAAAAAACGTGAGTTAATATTTTTCATCTCGGGCATGCACATCCACCTCCAGCACAGTATTGACTCGCGAGTAAATACCTTCTCATGCCCTCACCGACAGAAAAAAAAAACTTGCGAGTTAATTCTTCTCATTTCCCACCGACAAGAAAAAGTATGGATTTGCTAGTTAATCCTTTTGCTGTCCAACGAGAGAGAAAATATCAACTCGCAAAATATGTTTCCTACCCTGGCCAGTGGTAACAATACTAGTCGATGTAGAAGCAATTCTAGACGCTTCGCGCATCCCCACCAGCCCGTCCAGAAACGACGCCCAGGCGAGTAGAGGGTCGTCCTGAGGGCCTTTTCGGCGTCCTGGGTGCCTCGGGGGGGCCTCTGTGCACCTCCCCCGGGGCCGGTTTTGCGAGGATGTCTCAAGCGAGGGCGCCGGTATGGGATTCGTCACCGGATCCAGCGGATCCAGCGGATCCACCGGATCTGTCCGGAAACGGTGCCGGAGGCCGCTCTGGGCTCCTCTGGGCACCTCCCCCGGGGCCGGTTTTGTGAGGATGTCTCAAGCGAGGGCACCGGTTTGGGATTCGTCACCGGATCCAGCGGATCCAGCGGATCCACCGGATCTGTCCGGAAACGGTGCCGGAGGCCGCTCTGGGCTCCTCTGGACACCTCCCCCGGGGCCGGTTTTGTGAGGATGTCTCGAGCGAGGGCGCCGGTTTGGGATTCGTCACCGGATCCAGCGGATCCAGCGGATCCACCGGATCTGTCCGGAAACGGTGCCGGAGGCCGCTCTGGACTCGTGCTCTTCGCGCCGGGGGTGAGGATGACGTGAGTTCCACAGAAACTCCCTCAAATTAATAGTACTGCGCCGCCGCTGTCGTTT